TTATGGAAATTTGTATCACAATTGACCTAAAAAGCTTGGTCCGCTAAGAACATCAACTTGAGGAAAATTGGTCTGAGGTCGAAGTTATGACTTTTTGATCCGTACCTCTGTCCAAACACTCGAGCCTTCGGATTTGTAGGCTACGGTAAATGATGGGGATAGTTCGTCCTCAGGTGTCTTCCAGTCTACAGTAACACTGTCCGGTCCAGTGACAGTAATTTGCGGAATCGATGGGGTAGTCTTGGGGAGATCTATAGGAGATCATTTGCAGTCAAGAATCAATCGGCTTACACTAGTACAAACCTAATTCTGGGAGTCGAATAGGGGCTGAGACCACTTCCGAGTTGGAACACTGCCCCTCGTTATTGTATGCTTCCACTTTGAATTCGTAATTGGCTCCCTGCTGCAGATTTTTCACAGCGTAGTGCTCATCATGTATCTCTTTGTCATTCACCTGAAAAGATACCTATGTATCTTACGCTGAAGGTGCTCAACAACTTCTGTTATACCTTTTCCCATTTCCCTCCTTCTTTTCGAGCAAATACATCGTATCCAGAGATATTAGATCCTCCATTTATTTCTGGCTTTGACCATGTCAAAGCACAGCCATCAGTAGTCACTTCCGATATCGTGGGAGCTTCTGTGATCTGTGGTACTACGGATGCAGCTATTTCAGCATTCTAAAAGGGTTGCTTAGGCGTTCAAACGTTGGAGCAAAAATCGTCAAAAATCTAGCTTACATTCGTGATTTCACTCGGTGCGCTAGCTCCATATTTATTGATAGCCGTCACTCTGAACGAACATCCGGCAAGTGATTCGTCCGCTTCGAGTTCATACGATCCTTTACTTCCAGGAACCTAAGGATGCAACAGTTATGGTTCGCATTTGTGTAGAAGGGTTGACGGAGTTGAGTAGATCACATGAAACTCGTTTTTTGAAATGCCTCGCATTTATAAATTGTTAGCGTGATCAAATAAATGCACACAGCTAGTCATATGAATCTTTATCTAACTAGAGAAGTCCGTTACAAGTCTAATCTCATACGAAAAAACAATTCAGTTCTTCAGAAATTTTGAGCATTGAGGAAGAACGCGCACCGACGCTATTTCTTGCAAGCTCAAAAAAAAACAGCGTTTATCCAACGCTTCAATTCCGAGCCTCAAATCAACAGAAACTTGTTCAGGTTCACACCGGTGGAAACAGCAAAGTTTATAAATTTACAAAAATATGCATTTAATGGCAGCTGTGGAAATTATGTGTATCTCTTGACGGTAGTGGTAAGGTAAAGTGTAAAAGGAGCATTTGAACCTTGTTTCTCTCCTCTGAATATAGTATGCCGCTATTCAATATTTGCGATTAGTATTTACACTTCTTCCAGCTAATGAATTTGAAATCAAGAGAAATCTGCTCTCTCAACGTTTAGAGTGACATCGAAATACTCTCCCTCAAAATTTCTAGACCTCACCTTTGCTAATTTTTGGTAAGTGCGACGGTTTTGCTCTTTCTTTTCAACCAAGTACTCGATAACATCATCACTTGGACAATCCCATTTCAACAAGATCTTATTTTGGTCATTTCTGTCCAAAGTAAGATTTGTTGGCTGTTGTGGTACGTCTAAAAAAACGACGATTATGATAAAGTCTTTAAAAAAGAAGTATTTCCTTACCGTTGATTTGCACAGCCAACGTTTTCCTATCTTCTCCAAGCTCATTAGTAATCACTATCGTGTACTCTCCAGCATCAGCTACCTCTGCATTGTTCTTACGGAAACAAATCTCCTTTTCGCTAACTTCCAGGAATTCTTCAACATCCTTCAGAGGCTCTCCGTTCTTTAACAACACTACAGACGGCTTGGTTGGACAGTTGAATGGAACTCTTATGGAAATGTCCTCGTTCTTCTTGATACTCACTTCGGCAGGTACACTCTTCTTGAACTGAGGTATATCAGTGATGCTTAAGTTGGTGGTGCTCTGAACCCCATTCGCAACGACCACATATACTCCTGAGTCGCTGACGTTTGCCTTATCAATTTTTAGCCTACATACTGCTCCATCCATTTCTGTCGAGAACTTCGGCATTTTCTGAAGGGGTTGGCCATCTTTGAACCAAGCTACCTCAGTCGCTTCATGGTCAAGTTCAATTTCAAGTGCTACTGGGCTGCCTTTCTTGTAGATCTGCTCAGGTTTGAGTTGCTTCACTATTCTCGGCAAAGTCTTTTCCAAAGCGATACGTGAACTTGCT